GCATACGATACGGTAAAATGAGTCGAGAGTGTCCAGAGGAAGTATCACAGAAAATGGTGGATGGTGAATGTGGAAGAGAGACTTGCCTGCAACGTAGTGAGGTAGATTTGAGCAGGTATCCGAAGTGAGGGTCACTGGTTTGATGCTGAGAAATGGTCTCAAGGCTGATATCGGATGGTGTAACCATACTGTTGATGTTGAGCCGAGAGAAGGCGTCTGCGACGGTGTTGTCCGATCCGTTATTTTGTCGGATATCTGTGGAAAATTGAGAGAAGAAATCCAAGTGTTGAATTTCGCGCGGAGAGTAGAGATCAGAACGTGCACGGAAAACAAACACCAGTGGTTTGTGGTTTGTCATGATGATGAATTGACGACCTTCGAGGAGGTGGCAAAAATGTCGTATGGCAAGGTATGCTGCCAATAATTCGCGACCAAAGTTGCTGTAATTAGTTTGGGATGGGGAGAGCTTCTCTAAAATAGAAAGCCCAGGGCTGCTGGATATTTGCGACCGTCAGATGAAGTGTTGCTACAACAGCATGATTCGACACGTCGATATGCAGCTCCAGTTGAGTGGATGGAGATGAGTTGAGGTGGAAAAATATGGTGGCATCCTGGGAGGTTGATTTGGCAGTGTCAAACGCTTTAAGCTTTTGCGTTACAGCCGAGCAAATGAGTGAGAGGATGAAGTAGAAGGAAACAATTGGGGATAAAACGACGATAGTAATTCATTCAACCCAAAAAGCTTTAATTTGTTTGACAGAAGTTGGACGGGGAGGTCCTGAATGGCTTAAGCCTTAGAAGACAGTGAAAGAATGCCTCGGGAATTAATCTCATGGCCTAGAAATTCTAAGGGTGAGACACGGAAAATGCATTTAGATGGATCCAATGTGAGGCCATAATGTTTAATACGTGAAAAGAGAATGCTGGTGCGTCAGTTATAAGATAGCAAAACATTTGCAGAAAACGTTCATCAGAATTCATTGATAAAAATGACTCATCGGCATGATGCAAGTATTTTACTTTTGTTTTCAAAATTGTTCTGTGTGCCCTCCTTTCCCAGGTAGCACGTCTTCGGCTAATAGCGCGCTATTAGCCGGCTACAATGGGCTACATTTTTGAAAATTCCGTTTTATGACTTCCGTCTTCTCTGTTCTCTAATTCCTTATAAGCCCCATATTTTCTCGCGGTATTACTATCTGGTAATGAACCTAAGTACATGTTTCGTAATGATTTTAAGCGCACTTAATTTACTAATTGAATAAATCTCTTTTATCTTCCCTCACCCCTACTGTATCATGTTAATCCTAGTTAGAAGCTATCTTCAAGCAAGATTCTACTGTAATAAGAGTATTTTATGCAGACCATTTATTCGTTGATATATATAAAAGTACAAGGTATATTACATTTACCGTGTAGTACTTTTCTGTCGCAGTTATTCGGCGGCAATTCTGTTTGCCGTATTTTGAACCACCTGCGGTTTGGGCGTTCAACGCAACCCATTGTAACATCGAGAAATCTGGGATATATGCAAATAGCATCCAGTGAAGTAATACCTGGTACCTCTGAACAATCGAATGGGCTAATCCAAGCTTGATAGTGTCTAATGCATATCTTGCTGTAATTAGTTACCGACTACACCTTTAATAGAAAAACGGTCGGAAGCTTGTATTTTTCCATGTTTTCCGGTGTAATTCATCAGCGCAGCTAATGAATCATGCAGTACCGTAGACATGGCACGTTTCACTGTGTGTGCCACACCTTTCCCACCCATTTATACCAATTGTTTCACCTAAGCACTCAATAGATAACGTCACTGAAACCTTTAAAAAATTGTCATAAGCGCTGTCATCTGACAATTTCCGTTCTAATTCTCCCAGTTGCTGTAAGTTGAATCCATATTAAAGGAAATGGCCTGCACTTATGAAAGAAAACGTTTTACGAATAAAATACATGTTTTACGAATAATTTATCCATTGATCTTGGATACCTTGCCCTATGTTCATAAAGACTTGCCTCGTCACAAACAGGACAGTTTACTTGTTGCATCCGCTGATGCGATAAAATGTCCAGCGAGATATAAATGAGATTTTAAGAAACTGAATAAAATTACCTTTTTTGTATGGCTAATGAAATAATTCTGGGAAAAAAGTGATAATGGAACCAAAAGCAATAACAACTAAAAAATAAATCACAAAATTTTACTTACTATCCGATAGACGTTAAGAAAATTATGCCCATCAGCAGCTTACGAAAAACCAGCACAAGATAAGAGTCACTTGAAATATCGTTTCCCACCGTAAATTAAAACAAAAACCAGAGATGTTTGACTGCAAAAATACAACCAATTTGATTGATTTGAGAACGAAAATGAGTCTTCAAACCAAAAACAAATAGTATGAATACATTTTAAAGGTTAATTACTGTTCAATAACAAAACATAGCTGATGTAGCTCATAATTAGCCCTTTGTAGGCGATCGATGCTCTACGTTGTGCTACCTGGGTGGTGATGCTCATGCTGACTGGCCCAGGTAGCACAAGTGTCCCCTTGAGCGTACCAAGTGGATGCCCTCAGGCGTCCTCTTAGTGTCTCCCTCCGGCGTCCCTTTTGAAACACTAAGGGTAACTCAGAGGGACACTCGAAAAACGGAGCACCACGGACCGCCACCCTTGCGCCCCAGTTCAGGAAGCTATTTATACCCAATAGCCGTGGCACCTTATTATTGTGCTACGTTTTATCATCTTGAAATCACTCTGAGCTGTTTCCCGACATAGCCTATACGTCCCGACCTAAAACGACTTCCAACGTTAGCAGTTTCTCAATCCAAAGACCCCTTTTATATTTCGGATTGAAATAAAAGCAGATTTGGAAGTAAATAAAAAATGGATTGAAAAGAAACGGATTTGCACAACTGTTTTTAATCATTTGTGGTATCTAAATGCTAACATGAATGAATTATAATGAAGATTAAGGTGCTAAATTTATTTTATAAACATATGTAGGAGACGGCGATAGTTAACCGTACGAAAACCAATATGGCGGACAAACAAACTGCCCCTTTAACTAAGATTTAGTTAAAAAAGCGAAAACTTTTTCGATATGATGGAAACTAAAGAAACTAATGTACCATCAATGAGAATAAAATTTATTATATAATTCTTCACCGTTGAAATGGAAAAAGACAAATTTTGGAAAAAGCGCGAAAATCGGAGCGTTTTGAGAGCGAAAACGCGCTCCGGTGTGTTGACAGGACGGTAAGTCGTAACAGAGCGCGGACACTGGGGTCACCGTGATGAGATACTGAACTACAACGATTACTTCGGTGCCAGAATCGCGTTAGGCGAGTCTTTCGGACCGTCGTTTCAGGTTATGACCTCTATCAGAGAATTCGGCATCAGTGCACGGATATGAAACGAGCCAAACGTAGGACCTTCGACGAAAACTGGATGCAGACTCAGTGAAGGCGTCCGAGCTCCTCATCGACTACCTAAAGCGGCTCGAGCTTGTGTCCCAGCGTTGATTGATAGATTTGAAAAGAGTTGACACCAGTGAGGATAAAGCGGAAACCCTGGACAAACAGTACCGCTCGGTGTACACGACTGATGATTGCTCGGCACCAACAGTAGCCGGCAGCACGTTATTGTTCTTCTCCGAAGAGGTTTCAGAAGCGGAGGTAGCAAGGATGCCCCAATCGATCAAGATGTGTCAGCCACCAGGCCCGGATGGTGTTCTTTGCGCCTAACAACCGCTACCAGTTGATGCATTATAACAGAGCATACCGCTTTCAACCAAAAGCTACGTTTAACGGAATTTCAAACACTATCCACATGCCTTCGAATAAAGCGATTGCGCTAATACGAACACTACTCTAGATTGATTGAGTCATTTTCGCAGGGCGTTAATCGTTAATCATGTAGCTCGGATGTCAGAATTTTGACTCCCACTTCAGAGGTTCGTGTTTCGAGTCCTGACAGGGACACAAAAGGTACGTTCCATCGACGACTCCAAAATCGGAAGAAACAACTGTCCAGTATTTTTTGTCAGTCACCATGGGAATGATGTAAGACCACATCAAATTTGAAGCACTTTGGAAGTCAGATTCCTCAGCTCTTCAAGATTATTTATTCAGA